CTTTAGACCTCTAATCCTTTAGGTCTGGTAAACTGGGAGTTCTAAATGTGAACGCTAATGTGCATCACTTCAAGAAATCCTTCTTCTCAATGATTGAAAACACCAATTTCCATTCTGTGATCCGTCAAGTGTGTCAGCACGAGTCTGTGCTCCCTGGTCTGGCTACATATCCTGTAATGAAAAAGCCAAAAATAGCTAGTTCTCCATCAAAACTTCTCAACTAAATCTCATTTTTCTACAAATTGCAAAGCATCCTGCTGTTTCTTCCAAGATTTCACAGCTTTTTGGTCATAGTCAAATTCAACCTGTGAACAATTATGCAAATTCACCTTGAAAATTATTTTCTTAGCACAGGGGAGTTAGATATTTGAAAATACGTTTGAATTCCTTAATATCTTTAGAGCAAAAGTACTAAGGGCTAATTTGTTGGTAACTACCATGATAAACAGAAATAAGTATTTATCTGAAGAGGAGGAAAGAGAAGGGTTGAAGTGTCTATTAATTTGTGTCTGCTCTTTCAGCATGGATCTTAGCTGGTGATCAGGAAGTGATCACTTACATCTGGAACTGAGAAGGATGGGAGCTATGGCATTGCAAGCTGATACCTGGAAAACAGACATTAAAAACTGCTGGGAAGGAGAAGCATGATGCAATGAGTTGTATGTTACAGACTAGACTTAAGACAGCTAGAGATAGCTTCTCAGAAATTATCTGAAGTTGCTAGTCCTTGCTAATCATGTAGTATTTTTAATGTACTCATTAAGAACCCACTTTCATTTATATTTTTAACCAGCATGATGTTGGCAATGTGCTCCACATTTATTTTCCTTTTCTGTGGCTTTTCATGCCAGGAATACAAGGTGTTGTGGAGGCTTACCAGAGCTGCCTTCCCAAGCTGCAGCTGTATGGGCCAACAAACATTGCTCCCATCATCCAGAAAGTGGCAAAATCAGCGTCAGAGGAGACTAACACCAAGGAGGCCTCGGTAAGGCAATAATGCTGTGTTTGCCTTTTTTTCTTGTTTTATGATGGGTCTCTTGTAGGTCATCAAAACAAGGCCTTTTCATTTATGCAGATTATGCCTTCAAAAGTTTTACTAACTGCCTTCACATAAGGCAGCTTGAGCCTCTGTCAGCTGGAGCAGTGTATCCAGCCTTTATAACTTCAATAGTCATAACTTTTAACTCTTCTTCTGCTGTTCTGTTTCCTGCTTATAGAGCTGTTTTACTGTAATACACCCAGTTCTTCACTGTGGAAACATAAATGGCACCAGTAAGGTTACAAAAATTGGGTGTCCAAGCCCTAAATGTCTTGATCATAGAAGGAGATGAGTTCAAATGATGCCCTACACAGACTACCCAATTTCAAGTCTCTTGCAGAGGCTGTACTAAAACTTTTATGTTCACCTAGGGTGATTTTTCCAACCATTCATTTGAAAGCTGTAATGACACAGTTTTCAATTTGCTGTTACTGATGGAGTATCTTGTGCCTTTTAGAAACTGAAAGTCTGCTAACCTGCATCTGATACAAAACCCATGTCAGATTTCTTAGGCTAAAAGACTTAAGCAAAGTTCCTGTTTTAAAAGTATGTCTTCGAAATGCATTAAGCTTATGTTGTTCCTGCCTTCCAGACAGAACAGGAGAAATGGAGAACAAGAGAATAGGAGAGAATATGTGAGTGAGGAGGTCTGAAACATTTACAAGAGCAGTGCTGTGGGAGTAATGGATGTAAGAGAGACCTTGTATACAGCAGCAAGTGCCTATGTATAGGAACAGAACAGAGCTCTGCAGTGGCATGCATCTCATCACCAGGCCTAGAGCTTTCTCTAAGCTTTCTTCATGTCCTGAGCCTTTTAAAAGTCTCATTAATGCAGCAGTTCCCAAATATTTCTGTTCATGACTCTGGGCTTGTGACTGATATTTACCAGAGCATGTTGTGACAGGAAAAGGGAGAACAGCTTCAAACTGAAAGAGGAAAGGTTTAGATTAGATAATGGAAAAATATTCTTTACTGTGAGGGTGGTGAGGCACTGGAACAGTTGCCCAGAGAAGCTGTGGATGCCCCATCCCTGGAAGTGTTCAAGGCCAGGTTGAATGGAGCTCTGAGCAGCCTGGTCTAGTGGAAGGTGTCCCTGCCCATGGCAGGGGAGTTGCAACTACATGATCTTAAAGGTCCCTTACAATCCAAACATTCTAAAATTCTATGATTGTCACTCCACTGTTGTTTCCAGAATCTTGATAGTATTTAGGATCCCAGTCCTAAAATGCGGAATAGCTTATGTTTGAATTTGTATACCCACCTAATCCTGAGGTGGCTCAATCTGTTCCCAGTGCTGCCTCTGAAGTAATATGTCATATTGAGTAAGTTTCTTTGTTGTTCTATACATAAGCTTCCCCCCTTTCTGTCCAAAAAACAATTTATAGCATGAATCTTTGAGATGAAGTTTTCTCCCTGAATGATTTGTTTTTTTCATGGCAGGGTGAGATGAACAGAACACCTTGATTTCATGAAGCTGTGTATATACAAACATTAATGATGTTTAGTGTGTTGGTATTGCTCATGCAGAGTGACCAAATTCTATAACCTGTTAATTTTTCCTATTAATACACACTTGTTAAATGACTCCAACTGTCTAACAATTCATAAAGGATCCAAGTAAGAGTCGCTCTTCCCCATTATCAACTGAAGCGATGTCCATAGCCCATGATCCCAGTTCAGTGGACTTTGGAATTTTGGCCAAGAAATTACAAGCTCACAAAATTGCCTACTCTCTTTTGAAGCATGAGAAAACCTCTATTCAAGACTTTCTATGAAGTGTTTAAAGATGCATATATTCCTCCCTTGCTCTCCTTAGGGACCCCATTACTCTGTAGAATGCAGTAGACCTGCCGTGGTGTGGTGCTTCTCCCACAGGCAGCAGTGGGTCAGCCTCCAGTTTGCAGATGGTTGCACTCATCCCACTTGCCTGTTAGCAAAGCTCCTCTGCAAAGTGCTGTCATAACCTCCCTGACAGCTCTGCTACAGGCTTGTAACGCTTCAATACCCCATTCCTCCCTGCCTCCCACTGGTTCCCAAAGGGAAAAAGAATGTAATCGGAAACTGTCAGCAGAAGCGATTGTGCAGTAGATGGAAAACAGGGCTAGTGAAGATCTCAGGACTATTCCAGACTTCCCAGCTCTAGCATCTAGAAACCTCCTTTACTACGGGCATCCTTTGGCTCCCTCCAGCTCCTGGAAACTACCTGAACCAGAGCGAAAGTGCAGAAGAGAAGAGATCAGTAACTTAGGAGGTTGGGATGGGAAATGCTACAGAGTCACTATAAAGGATCTTTTTTATTTAAAAAGGTACATGAGTGACTTACCAGAAACACTTTTATATTGCAAAAGGTTAAGCAGCTTTGGAACATTAACTAATGACATGATTTTTTACTTCTTACCCAACAATTTCAGCAATATTTCATCTTGCTGATTCTGACGGATGGCGTCATCACAGACATGGCCGACACCAGAGAGGCCATTGTCCATGCCTCCCACCTTCCCATGTCAGTCATCATCGTCGGGGTGGGGAACGCTGATTTTAGTGACATGCAGATGCTGGATGGTGATGATGGGATCCTGAGGTCTCCCAAGGGCGAGCCTGTGCTTCGAGACATTGTCCAGTTTGTGCCGTTTAGGAACTTCAAGCATGTAAGCTGATTTTTCCATCCATTTCACAGAAGGGTGAATGTATAAAATATAGAGTGAATGATCCTTGGGGCTGGGCCTAACTTTGCATGTGCATGAAGTGTTTAGTAAGTCTATGGCATTATTGCATCAGAAATGGAGAAAAAAAAAGGGATCAGAATGAAGTGTGCTCCATTACTGAGTTAGTTAGGGTGAGGAAGGGATGAGGCAGAATCTATGTGCTTTTTGTGGTACCAGTCCATCCTTCCACTTTCTCCAGCTAAATTTTTCCTGGTGCCTCTTTTCCATTCTCTTTGCATCTGTTTTATTAGGACTCTGTATTCTGCTTTCCATCCCTTCATTTCCACAGGCAGATGAAATGGTTGTGAATTTGTCCACACAGTGTTCCCCAGGAGGCTGTTTCTGTATTGAAATTTAGGTCCCTAAGTTCTCTCATGCAGGACTACCCACCCACAGCATCCCGGATGCTTCCAAACCGTTTCCCAAATTCTGTGCAAGAACAGAGCCAAGAAAGTGGTGTTACTAAGAGCTTCCTTGTGCCTTCAACCAGCTGTTCCTGACGGAGCCCAGCATGGTGTAGAAGATATTCAGTAGGAGAGGAAGGGACAGACCGAGCATTAAATTGCCAAATCTAAAATAATGCATTGGACATGTATTTTTCTCCTCAGTCACCTGCCCTACATTGGCAGCACCTGCCCTACATTTCAGCAGCAGGGTAGAGACAATGTTCACCCACAGAAAGGGTTTTCCCACACAGAGACAGGTTTTTCAGAGGCATTTTCCTCCACATGGAGGCATGGAATTGGCATTATATTCCTCTGCAATGATGATGACATCCCTTTCCCTGCATTTTTCCATCTTTTTCTCTCTTCCTTCCCCTCATTTCTTCAGTTTTATTTACGTGGCTCTCCAGACTGCTTTGGGGTTTTTTTGCTCATCTCTGTCTAGGATATCCTCAGTATTTGATTTGAGAATTTCTTTGTCTCCCAGTGTAACTGACCCATTCTCCTCATGAGATTGCTCTCTTCAGTTTGCTCCTATACACTAGTGATCCTTAGGTCTGGGATATGTCACACAGAAACACACAGCTCTGGGCTGGTTTTGGTCTGCATATGGATTTGCACTGCTTAATATCTTTAGTTTTTTAGGCTTTTTGTCAACATAGGAGATTTTTCTTATGTTTGCTACTTCCAAAATACTTTCATTTTTCTCTCCTTGAGTTGTTCTTGTTTCTCACTTCAAAATATAATTTTGCCATATTTGTCTTAGATCTAGACATACTTCTTACTTTCACAAACTCCACTGGGGGGTAAGAGAAACAAACTTGTTCCTCTTTTCCCCCTACCTTTATGCAGACAATGGATCCATAGAGGAGGTAAAACACTTTAGTGTTTTAGTGCTATTAGTTTGGTGACACCATGCCAAAGAGCTGCAGATTGACTACTGAATTGTAGATATATATAAATTTCTATCCTGACAGTGGCACACGGTCACCTATCTGCTGGAACAAAGCACGAGCACAGCCAGCTCATACCTTGGGATTCCTTCAGCAGATAATCACAAGTGTGTAGTGTTGCACTGTAGTCTACTGTAGACCTACTTTTAATTAGTTGAAAACATGTTTCTGCAAGGAACTGGCAAAGCCAGCTGCATTTTTTGCTTTTAGATTCACTTTGTATGTATTTTATAATAAAGCTAAAATCATCCTTGATTGAATAGATCAACATTGACCGTTGCAGTTCTGGGCTCTGAATATATTGTTCCCTTGCTAACTTGTGAGTGAATCTATGTGTGATTTTTATTGCTAGCATTGGTCAAATAACAAGCATATATTCTTTTTAGCTGGGTTAGATAAACTTCCTCACTACTGGGAGAGGATAACAAACTTCATGTATTGTTCTTGTTAAATACTGATATTTTGCTCCCTCTTTCTCTCAGTAGCAAAGATAATATAGATATATAGATTTGGTTTTGCTATATCAGAAAAGTCAATGTATCTGATGCAATCTGATGTTTAGTCTGTTTATTGTGATCTTCAGCTTTTCAGCAAATACCAGTGTAATGGATGAGTGCCTGTAACAATAGCCATTTCTGGCTGAATTTCTTTATTATCATATCCCAAATAATATCTCTCTCTCTCTGAGTGAAATGTTTTGATTCAAACTTATTTTTCCCCACAGAGAAATGCAGATTTAACACATTTGGGAGATTTTTGTCAGATCAGTTTTGATCAAACACAAGAATTAACATACAGCATATTAAATTTGACAGCTTTAAACAAAATATGTATTTAGTTAAAAATCACATCAGTGTACCTTATGTTTATTAAGTAGAAAAAAAAGATGAAGGATCTTTTTAGAAAAATTATAAATGAAGTCATGTAAGGTTCATAGATTTTTCTGATAAATCAAGTATTTATTTATGCCTAAATCCATATAATATCTAATACTGATGGAAGGAGGGAAGAAAATGTTATGTGTGAGCAATTATTTCTTGTTTTGCTGGAGGAGACAACCCAAACAGTATCTTTTTTTCATTACTTCAATTCTCAAATCAGCTTGGAACTCAAAATCCCATATCTATCCAAAGAGAACAAAAGTAATCTTCGCAGAAGCTGCCCCTGTGAGAAAATGGAAAAGAGGGAGAAGGAAGTTGTAAAAATAACCTGTAGAGAGGATCCCTTTAGTTTAATAAGTTTGACTTCAAAGAAGGTTCTGATCCTGCACAGCACTCATACAAGCATTTAATATGTTTCAATTAGTTACAGTTGCTCACATATATAAAACCTTACACCCACTTCAATGTTTTACTGGCTTAAGACACAGTGTAGACTGAAGCCTTTATTACAGGGGTTTAGTCTCCATGTGATATAATAGTGTGTGAGAAGTATATTTAGAACCTTTTTGATTCTCTCTCTGAAGCCATCAAAATAATAGTAAGGATTGTAGTGACTCTTGGCAAATCCTGTAGTTGTAGAGGCTTGATGAAATCAAGGTAACCATTCATGCTTAGAAGAATGTCCCATTGTATAGCGGGTGACGTGGTGTTCACTAAAGGGGAACATAACGAACAAAGGGAACATATTTTCCTTGAACCCAAGGGATTTTTTTTCTCTCTATAATCATCACCACCCCTGTAATGTGAGTGTCCTTCACCTGAAACTGTATAACAGTGATGCTCACAGTCACTGAAATGTAGTGGAAGAAAATCACCCGTCTCAATCCATTCACATTCATATTTTAAGAGCTGAAATTCTCTGCCTTTGGGACACATGATATATTTGCTGTGCATAAATCTGATGCCACAAGTAGATTGTGTTCCATTCTGCATTGCATTTAATCTAAAGGCTAACAACTGTGACTTAATAACACATACATCACAAAGGTGTATGGAAAGCACAGCTCTTAACTACTGCAAGGAGTAATGTTTTTTACTTTGCATTGTAATTAAAGATTAAGCATAGTGAAGCTATAGAACTGAACCAACAGTCATTTGTAATACACACCAATTATAGAATCATAGGGGATTATTTTCCTGCTGCTGACAGATCTGATTGTTGTGTATTAGCTATCAGTTGAGAACTATTCATCTTGAGATGCTTATTGCTAGGATGTCTTCAAGCAGTTAACAGTGGATAAATTGTTACAGTAAAACATTAATGTCCCATCTTTGTTTAAAACCTAGCAAAGGTAATCCTTACACAGCATTAATGAACCGGGTCTGGCTTTTAGCTCACAAGTTACTGAGTCTAATTCTTACTTATGCAAATGCTGCTTTGCACAGTCTGGTCTAGAAGTGAGAGTCCTTTACCACCACAAAAGTTTGTAAGGTACAAACATGGTCCAAATGGTCCAAATCATCAGATAGGAAATCACCCCTAGCCCTAGTTTTGGGATGCTCCCTGCTAGAAAGAGCTCTGGGACCAATAGACATCACTGGCATGATGAAACTCAGTAAAGCAATAGCTGTGTTCAGACTGAAACACAGAGTCAAGCCAGATAACCCTGGGCAACTCTATATGGGGCCACACATTGCCTGTGAGCCATGGACACAGTGAATGTTTCAGCTTAAGCCTCAGTGAAAGGCTTTTCAGTTGAGGACTCCTCAAGTGGCAGTGATTCAGCTGCACATCGGAGCCCTGACAGAGCCTATTCTGAAGGGCTGACCCTTCGATCAGGATGAATGGATGTGGCGTCAGAAAAGTGGCAAAGGGAGGATGATGTAGAAAGGTGAGTGTTGGCCCAATGTTCAGACATGTGAACTACACATAATCCAGAGAAGCTGATTGTAAGTACTCCTGTCCAGCAATTTTAAAGACAGAGCAGAATGAAGTTTCCTGCTTGCTATGGCTTGTGTGTGCAGTGATAGCCCAGGGCTCTTCCCCCACTCCCTGTTTTCACCCTTTATGCAGGGTTGTATTTTTGGTAAGATAGCACAGAGTCAGGCTAAGGTTTGTACGGCTTTGACACACCAGGAAGGAGATTTAAAACCCAGTAATTTTCAATAGCAATGTAGAAATCAGCCATTTGACTTATTCCAACGGGTATTTTCTGATGATTTTACTTGGAACTAGTTGAACTTTAAGGTCCTTTCCAACCCAAACCATTCTATGATTCTATAAAACAGATTCAGGCAAGAATAGGGCAAATTTCAAAAACCATGCATTTCAATTTTGAGAATTAAAATAAATGGGTTCTGTTGCTGTGTAACACCTGAGAACAGTTGCTGCACTGTCACACAAAGTATGCTCTATGTTTTGCCAGTTTGTTCATGCAGAAATGTTCCAGGCTTTTTTGCCTGCACTAATATTTTTGGTATAAATGTCACAGTAGGGAAATTGCAGTTCATTTTATTTCTTACTAATCCCATACATGAGTCAAAATGCAAAAATACAAAAAAAACCAAACTCTTCTCTTTCTGGTTATGCTGGCATTATCTTTGTATTTGTAGCATTGTAACATTTGATACTGGAATTTCTAATAGCCCTGGGGCTTTTTGCACCACTGGATTACCACGCCTATGAATAGTTTGCCATTTACATTCTATGTAAACCTAATTTCAAGATTCTGGAAGGATAAGGATCCCACCCCATGAAACAGAGTAGGTCAATAAACAGTCAACAGAACTGCTTTGTGACATGGTGGTTTTGACACCTGGATGACAAGATAACAGACAGTGAGGAGGAATGTATTCATTAAACTTGGGAAAAAGTACTTGTACAGAAGAAATTGTGATCCAGCCACCAGTTCTTCTCTTACATCACTTGAGCCACTGTCTGTACTCCATCTGGAGATAAACACATTCGTTTAAACCTCTCAAACAGATATTTAAGTATTTGCATTTTTACTGCATTTTTGTGGTGGGCTCAGAGGGAACATGGCTGAGCAGGCTGGCTCCAGAGGACTTGGAATCAGCTCTACCCAAGCACTTCAAAATAAGCAAATCCAAAACACAGGGCAAGAGGATGCATGTGAGAATAGAAGTCCAGTTTTGTCACTGCTGAACTCAGCAGCTGAGGAAATGGTTGCCCAGAAAACATCCACAGGCCCCTCTGCTTAAAATGAAGCATTGTTGGGGTGTGAGGCAGCAACTGTGTGTTGTCGATGGAGGGCATGGTTTCTCATTATACTGAGGGATAGTCCTCCTCTCTGCCTGGAGTGAATGCCAATGGCCACCTCTATGTCCTCTCTACATTTCAGAGTCATCACTTAAGTCTGGTTGACACCTGCTATTTATAAATTTCAGGAAGAGCTTTAAAGCCTCCACAAAGCCTAGGATTGAAGCTTTCTTCTAACCATGGTTTAACTCCAATAAAAGCAAAGTAATTTTTATTGAATTAAAAGCTTCCACAGCCATTAAAACACCGTGCCAGATTCTGAAGAGCAGAATGGTGATGAAGGCCTCCCTTTCACGGTGATGTCCATACATGTTCAACTGGAAGCTCTGCAGGGTTCCTCACTGAACACTAATGAATGAAGTCATGGCAGCCCTTTTTGTTGTGATATGGTACTCTCCCAGAGAGCAGGGAAGTTCAGTTACCCTGAACTTGAATAGTCCAAACAGACCTGAAGAACATATAGAGCACATTTGGCTTTAGCGTACTTTCAGGCAGCTACAGGTACATAACTAAACTGACTCATAAAATGAGCTTCCAGCAATAGTGCCATTCACTTTGAGTCTTTTTTGCCTTCCATTTCTGTACCATACTTCCTGCCTTGATCTCATGGCACCAATGCCTGTGAAACCCATGGCACTTCTAGCAGAGAGTCAGGTTAACGCTTGTGTTTTCTACCATTTCCTGCAGGCATCCCCAGCTGCTCTAGCAAAAAGCGTTTTGGCTGAAGTTCCAAACCAAGTCGTGGACTATTACAATGGCAAAGGGATAAAACCAAAATGTATGTCAGAGTACGAGTCTTCCAGGACACTAGCTCCATGAATCTGCCTGCACTCTTTTACAAAATTAAAAAAGAAAAATGCTACTGTCTACAACTACTGTACTTAAAAATGAAACAAAAGAAATAGCACGTTTTGGTGATTTTTAACTAAAATAACCATTTTTTTTGCATGTGTAGCCTAAAGGCTTTAAATCTGTTAAGCGGTTGTATTGTTGAAAACTTTTTATGAGAAAAAAAATCCAGAAAAAAAAGTGAACTCTTTACATTACAGCATGTCGCCTTGAAATAAAAAGTTATCTGTATCTGGTTTTTATACAGGTTTGTTGAAATTTTGCTAAATTTCTTATCTTTACACTGTAAAGCATTTTGAAATATTTATTGAGAGTCGATAGCCAAAATGTCTTTGGTTTAATCTGCTATGAACTGAGAGATTTTTCAAAATGGCAGATGCATGAACTGTATTTTGCATGTTTAAAATAAAAACAACACAGTTTTGCAGTTGTCTTTATTTCTCTCTCTGCCACAAGGCTGCCTGCTTTCAACTTCCATATTCCAAGGAAAGGGTAATAAAGTGTTTCAAGAGATACCTGACCTGAAGCATGGGCATTTCTAATGTTAGCAGCTTATAATACAGACACTCAAACATGCCTAGTGTGTGGCCTGAGTAGTAATTTTTGAAAAGCCTGACACATTCAGCTGTTACAAAGGGTTTGAACCATAGCTGCAAGCAGATCTGGCTTGGAGGGCATGAACAATCAGGGTTGCATGTCTTAAAATATGCCTACTTAATCCAAACGATCTGGCTGGCTTTCAAACTGGTTGTATTTTGCCTACCCAAATTTATAATCTCTTATGTTTGCGAATTCTTATTTTGTTTCATTTGTACTTTTTAATTTCGCACCCAGTATCCAACTATGTATGACACATTTTCCAAAAGAAACTTTGCACGATCTGATTTTCTGACAACCGGTGATTTGTAACTTCATCCTCACACAAATCACCACTGTGCAATAGAAAAACTGGGTTTGTACCAAAAACATTCAAGCCACCTTTTGTAAACTAAAAGACACACAAGAACAGATTGGCAGTGGACTGACCTTTCCCTCAAAATACTTATGTATATAAGTGAAGGATCCATTTATTTTTAGTGCTTGAATTTTGGCTTCTTCTTTTGCTAAAAAACAGTAGTGAAGGATATGACTTGTTAGAAGCTAGGGATAAAATTTGACCAAAAATAATTTGTGTAGGATAGTCCAAAGGGCATGGCTTTGGACAAGATGTGCTCTCACTAAATGGAAAACATTCTTGTTGCTAGTTCCAGAAGCTGCTTTGGGCTAGTGCTAATAATATTTGAGAAAACTTTCCCTGGGAACAAGGGGTTTTGTTTTAGAAGTATGGATTTTCAAATGCGTCTTCAGGTAACGTAGAACTCTAGCTCCCTGATTCTCCTTTAGAATTAACTTCCATGGGATCAGCTTTGATTGATGATTTTGTACCATTAAATGAAGGCAGTGGGATAGATAAGATGCATGGGGCTGTTTCCCCAGCACAGGTCTGCTCCATCTATATCCTGCAGTGCAATCTTTCATACTTGCTAGTAAAGATTTCTTCAGCTGATCAGATATTGAACAGCAGCCAGTATTACTTGGTCATGGGTATAAATTATCTGGAGATGTCCTGACTGATAGATCTCAAATCCACATTTCCATGTAATGGCTGACACTTAATTCAAGAGCTTACCCTGGCAGCCACACATCTCTCCCTCCGTGGATGTATTTCATCTGGAAGCTACTGTGATTTTCCCTTATATCTCATACACCAATGAATCTTTATACAACATCTCTAGTTTCTTATTCCTACTTCCCTCCATTTGTCTTGCCTTCCCTATTCTCAGAAGCAGCATTTTCTAGCCTTTAAAGCACATGACTCAAAAATCAATGACTCCACGTCCTTTCCTCCACCAATGTCTTATTTTCTAATTTTGGCCAAGTTGTTTAACTTTTCTGCACCTCAGAACTGTAAAATGAAGGTCACTGCCATGTATTCATATATATCTCACTACAGTACTGGGGGACGTTAATATTTGAAAGATGATTTGAGATCCTCAGATGCATGATAGTGCTCTCGCCATGTAAAGAGTATTACTTTATCCTAGGATGTGGATTTACAAATGTAATGTACAGCCAAGGAAGGGTTAAGCCTTTTCTTTATTATTTTCCAGACTGAATGAAAGCAAAAGAAAACTTTTAGTCTGGAAATTAGGAATAGGATAAACTGTTCTTCTGGTACATATGATCTTTGACTAAACTGATTTTTGAAGTGTTTATGTCTCTTCCAACCCAACTGATTCTATGATTCTGTGATTAGCAGAGGTGTTACAAGGGGCCTCTATAATGCAGCATCAATACAATGCAGAGATCAATATGTTACTGCATGCTGAGCTATATAAATTATCTTTTTCCTGTGTGTAGATGGTCCATAGAGGTGTCTCAAGAGAACCATAGCTGTTGCAGAACTTTCTGTTTACTTCACACAGTCCTGATTATAAAATGCTGTCCACTTAAAGACAAATAATTACCAGTGGTTAATATAGGTCAGCAATTCTGTAGCAGCCCTCAAGGTATTTGGAAACACACCTCCATGACATTGAAAAATCACCTTCAGTCTATACAAATCACAGCATGTAAAACAAACAAGTAATAGTGTGGTGAGTTGGTGTAGAATGCAGAGAAGACAAAACTAGCCATATGGTAAAGGCTTTCTAATGAGGCCTTGAATGTTATTTTTATTGCTCCAAGCTACTCTCTGCAATAAAATAGTATGGGCTTTGTGCAGGGTAATATCATTAAGTATATGAATATATCTCTGAAATGGCATTTTTTCCTTCTGTTTTATCTGCTTAGGGTTTTAGCAAGGCCATTCTGCCTTTAGGCTGAACTGACATCCATTTCTCCCACAGATATTTTAATGGAAATTTAAACTTCTACTGCCTTTTGACAGATCATTTTAAATTCTGAAAACTCCTTTAAAATAAATTATATATTGTCCTTTGAGGTAACTGATGACCTAAAATATCTTCTCTATCAACTGCAATCATGCCTTCCTTTTTACTGTCTCTCAAACCTGATTCAAAACCCAAAAGTCCCCAAAAATTCAAAGATATTCATGATCCCTATTAGCCCGAAGAACATTAATCCATAATTCTTGAGCCAGATACTGAGCTGAGTTGTATTTTTAGTTTGTATGGGAAACTAAGTCTACAACAATTTTTTGAAAAGCACCGAGACACTGTTAAAAATGTTCATTACCCTAAGGCAAAAACTATTCACGTGAAGTTCTTACCATGATAAGCAATATAGTGTTCTATAGCACTAGGGGTGATATTCCAACAAACACAGGTGGAAGGCCCCAGTTCTGTGCAGATTTGTGTGACAAAAGCCTTGCAGCTCTGCAATACTTAACTACATCCCTTGGGTTTACCCACACACCAAATACTGTGATAGAACACAATGTGGCTTAGGTGAACCTCATTGTTATACTGCACTAAGGTGCTGATGAGTTAAACAGAGCTACCTCTTTCAGCCTGGCTCTCCAGCTGCTCGAACAGGTCATGGCTAACTCCCAGAAAGAACTCAACTGGTTATTCAGATTGACTTTCCTCACCTGGGATTGTGGGTCTTGCAGTCACACCTGCTTTGTAAATCTAAACCTGTGTCAAGACCTTCCGGCATGAGTTACTAGACAAACTCCCTTTCCTCCTGAGTACTATGGACATTTCATCACAAAGCACTGATACATTTACGTCCACATTTTTTTTCTTTTTATTGGGAAGGATGAGGTAGAGGCTTTCTAGGATAAGTTTACACTTCTCAGGTTGTTTTTTTTCCTTTATTTAAAGGAAATGCCATTTTGGCACAAGAAAAACAGAGTTCATATCACTACCTGTCCTCCTTCACACATAGGTCTCATTTGTACCTGCATTCCTGAGCTGAGGAGCTGCACTGAAGTTTCAAATTGCATTAAAAAACCTAGGTGACCTCTCTCCTGTGACGGCTGCCAGTTCAAAAGGGGTATTTCCATTTCCTCATTCCTGCAATTCCCAAGGCAGCAGAGCGATGGAGAAGGTTATTTTGTAATGGGCACTGATTCTTTCTCTTCCTTCCCTCCACAAATGTGCTAGTCATTTCAACTGCTGTGCAGAAAGCCTTTTACTGCTGTGCTCAGGAGGCACTTTGAATTCTTGTCCCACTGATTAGAGCAGGCAGTTTGCCACCTGATTGCATTCTGAGTTGCAGCCGTCTCGCGACACCCACTCCCCCCTACACACAGATCGGTACGAGTTCATGTCTCTTTAACATCATGAAAAGCTGTACGCACCAAAAAAAGAAAAAGGTTTGATATTGCATCATCATGGTGAAAAGGAGAAAAGAAGTACAGCACTAAAACTTTTCTCTCCAAAACGTGTGCACCCCTCTGCACTACTTCAAGTTCCTGGTACATGAAATGATGTGTCATTTCAGGGGTAGAGCATGTTAGATGAGAAAAGCATCATACTGTGGCAACAAGGCTAGCTAGTATCAAGGGAGCCCTTGTCAGTTAATCTTGCTATGTGCCTTGGTTCTACATCTTTAAAATGGGGGCAAATAGCAATTTGCTACTTCCTGTGAACTTTGTAGGGTAAGCACTATTGTAGGGTGTCACAGTGGTTAGAAACTGGGAGGGCAGCACCTTTATAATTTCGAGACTCCTTCTTCCTCCTGGTATAGAGGTCGCTGTCAGAATAGCAGCACAAGCTACCAATGGAGCCCATTAGAAAACACATCTGCATGAAATTTAGCAACATTCCTGTTGCTGGTTTTGACGCCAGGGAGAGAACAAAAAGATGCAGTGATCACTGTGGTAGCGGAGACAGCTAACCAGATTCAGAGAGGGAATATCAGTTGGACTGTGAACTTGGGAGATGCACTTCTAAACACACTATGTGTTTACTTCTTAAAAGGACAAAAAGTAAACATGGGACAAGGAGTGTGTGTGAAATAGCTGTCAGTAGTTTTCTGGATTACAGTTTTGGGTGTGAACACCAAAATTCTGCTCAGTTACCCACCCTGAGGTGCATACAGCCTCTCTCCGATATGGCTAGCTGGTCACAAGCCTCAAGTGCAACACCCACACACAGACATAGCACAGTGGGAGGGAAGATGGAGTGGCAAGGAAAAAGAGAAGCAACGACAGACTTCATCTGACCACACTGAACACTCGTGTCTCTTTAAAGAAAGAGATTTCCGTTGAAACGATAAGGGAACATTGGGTTCATCCTCCTTGACTATCCTACCTAACTCACTCTTGTCTGTGCTGGTGCCCTGCTCAGGAAAAAAAAGAAAGGTGAATTAATTCCAAATGCTGATGAAAGCCAGACCTCACTGAAGCCAGAGCATCAGAGGTACTGACCCTGTGCCAGGCTGCCCAGAAACTCTCTTTAATTTTACCAGTAAC